AACAAGGTGAACATTGACTCAACGGCCGATGGGAAGGTGTCAGTCAGATCCAAAACCGACTACCTTGAGTCGCTTCGAAAGCAATGGTCCTCATTGCCATCTCCACCGTCGGGTATTTTCGACGAGCTTGACTCCACGTCGAATTTAAGCGATCTCTCGGAAATTGAATCAACGAAGAAAGACAAAAGGGGTAAAAAGAAGGATAAGAAGAAAAAGAAGAAGAAGAAGAAGCAAAAGTTCTTGGAGAAGATTGGAGGGCCGTGGGCAGAGCGATACAGCGTATCGCTAGTAGCCCCCAGTTTGGTCCCAAATTTCTTCCCCAGCCTGCGCGTGATCGACTACAACATCACGGGACTGGACGAGGTCGCACACGGGGTGGATTTGTTGCGAGAGGTTGACGATACAGCCTTCGAACTAGACCATGATGTGATTGATACGCCAGAACCCAGCGACGATTCTCTACTTACTCCCGAAATCCAGAAGAAAAAGAAGAACAAGGACAAGAAGAAGAAGAAGCCCAACTTCAAAGTCCCCGAGCCCCCATCGCCAACCACTCCTCCTGGCCCTGCATACTCAAACCAGGTGTTCACGTTGCTTGGCTACACCCAATACTACTCCAACCTAACCAAACTCCACGAACAGATCGCGGCAGGCGAACGAGGCAAGGATCCTCGTGTCGACTACGAGATCGAGTACACCACGAATGATGACGTGTATCAAATGAAGGACCTGACGGTCCGCAGCTTCTTCCAACTTGCAGGCCGAATTGCCGAAGACGGAGCCGAACAAAAACAGACGGAGGATGTCGATAGCTCAGACGCCGATGCGTTTTCCAAGAAGAAGAAAAAGAAGCCAATGAACGACATTTGGCGGGCGTTCTTGAAGCGCGCATTTGTTGGGTATGAAGTTGATGACCTGAATGTATAGGGCGATTTTGCAGCATTTCTTTTTTGGGCTACTTTTGCATGTACGATACATAATAGCTTGCATCTCAGACTCATACAGTGGAGACTTGTAAGTTCACAAGATGTTCATTCTAGATAATATGGCTAGATATGAAGACATTGGATTGGAGTAAAAAGTACAAATAAAAGAAACCCCCAAATTGCCAAATTTTTTATATTCGTCTCTCCCGAATGCGTTTGGCCCTCCATACTCGAACCAGGCATCTTAAAAAAAGACGGCGCTATCCCCCAACATAATACAACTGAGGTTGAATTACTCTATGGCCGCTACTGGGGACGAATCAGCTTCGCCGAAGAAGATATCCGGTGTGACTATCTCGACAAGCTGAAACTCCTTTCGGGTGAGGACTACACCTAAACGCTCGAACGACTGGAGAGCTTCCAGAATCATTTCTACGTAGGATATGAAGCGGATGCATTATAAAATGCGGAGACCGAACTTTCCCGAACAGAGGATGAAATGCTAGAAGCCGCGTATAGAGCAGATCTAGCGCAGAGGCTCCAACACGGTCACCCCCACGTCGACTCGAGGAAGAAGACAATAGTGACAAGCTGTGGACTATACAGCTCCTTAATTTACCAGATGGGGCGAGTTAACACGAGTCTTTCCCAGCGACGGTAAAGGCAGGAAATTCAACTTCTCCGGTGTCTACCACCTAAAAAGCAAGACCCGTATCTGCCCCTGAATATAGCTAAAGGTATAAGGGAAAAGCCGGTGAGTTATCAAGATCCGGTGGACTAAGCGGTCAATGGGCGGTCAAAGGTTACTGGCAGAATCCTGGGGCATAGGCCGTACAATGGCATTCTGGCGGTGTGACAGCTTGGAGTAACTTTGAATACACACAAACTGTAGATGTATTATTTGTCTGGAGTAGCTAGATGTACAAAATCTTCTTCTCCCCTCACACCAGATAGGTGGATTCCAATACTCTGTAACTCCAATACACAGCCACTGCCAGCGTGGCAGTCCGTGCTGACTTGGGCACCTAGGGTGTCCTATAATAGGGCATGAAATCATCATTTCCAGCCAATCTGCGATGCCTCCTACCTTCAGCCGGTGCCACGTAGCAACCCCATCATTACCGTGTACAATATAGTTAACTGGCACGAAACTTAGACTGGGGGACAGCACATCATTCTATAGAGATGAGATCAGTTGCCACTTGCAATTGTAGCCTTGGTCATGAATTTATTGTAGATTTAGTTCATCGTAGACCATTACCTCCACTATCTCATCAATTGTGTATCTCAGATTACTGTGGGACTCCACTAGTGTCATTTACTATACAGTACGCATATCCCGAGCTCAATATCAGGGGAAACCTCTAGGACCTTGCATGAGGGAAAATCTCCCTTTCTAATTATCTTCTCCATAGGCTTTGACTCCTCCGGGCCCCAAGTCCCCCAATTCCAATTCTAACCCAGCCCACCGAGCTCGAGCCCCCTAGTAGCTTCATACCCGAGACACAGTCCCCAATTCCTTCCCCGCACAGAGTTCGCTGGCCAAAATCGCATTGCGTCCACTCTATCCCCTACTTTTGCGACCGCACGATGCGTCAAGTCTACTTGAAATTCAGCTCCGAGCTCCGTCACCTTGTCTGCTCCTTGCGTTGTTAGCCGAATTTCCAGCGTAACGAGAATACCATTCGGAACTCGCCCGTCGCTAGACCGAAACAGGCAATATTGATTCGATTGATCGCGGATCACATCGTTCCTTGTGTCGACTACAATTTGACCGTTATATACTCTGTCGCAATTGGATTTGGTACCCGCGCCAGGAACCAAAGCCATTGGCTGTGATATACTCCGCGGTCTGAACAACCGCCCCCTCGGGTCCCGCCGAACCTTGCAGCTTGCGCGGAACTTACTCCTATCTGTTTCGGATATTCCGTGGATTTTCCCTTTTCGATTCGGCGCATCGCTGGAATAGTCTGAGCTTTTTGTGCGCCAAGATCCTGATTTCGCAGGTCAATTGGTCCGCGACTTGGGAATACACGCGTGGTTGGAGCATGATTCAGTCGCTGCGTTTGTTTATTTGAAATTCTGTTTGCGCGCTTTTCGGTAAGTCCAAGCTGTCTTCGCCTATTCCCTTGCCTGTTGAGACATTCCCAGTTTCGCAATTGAGTTTTCTTTCGGTCAAGTCTTCTCCGAACCTCCCCCGCCTATTGCTCAAGACCAATGACCAATATGGCTGACTCCATATACCTAGACTCCACAATTTCCGGGTCCTGGGCCTTGTGGATGGCCTCCTCCGAAGTAGACCAGAAGGCCCTGGGCAACTTCGCCGCTGTCATGGGCCTCGAAAACCCCCTGCTCTCGACAATGCTATACAAAGTCCTGGGCGTCTCCGTCATGCTATCAAAAAAGCTTCTTAGAGCCCGCAAGCTGCGTCGCCTCGACACAACACGCGAAACAAGATCCCTCCAGCTGTACCATCACATCATATGGCTCTCCCGCGAAGGCCTACTAATACTGGAGGGCTATATCCTCCCCATGGTAGACAGGTTCGTCGAGCTAAAAGTGCTCGCCTACAAACTCCGCGCTTCCTTCTACCATATCTTTGTCCTATTCCATAATCGTCCAATCTTCACCCCCGACGCCGACATGCCAACCCGCTTCAAACATGACTCTATATACGGCGCAGACACCCTAACCACCCTTGGCGTTTCAGACTACAAGTCCAAAATGAATGATACATCAACACCAACATCCAGGCCCCCAGGACTACCAGTAATGCAACCAGTCCAGCCACCCCAGCCAGTATCCACCTTCCTGCTCCCCCCATTGGACTACACAGCCACAGCCACAGCCTGCTTCAACCACGCAGCAACCCTCTCTGACAAACTCCTCCCGGGTTCACACCCTCTCCGTCTATCAGTCAAGCTCGAATACGCAGCCTATCTATACGACTGCCTCCAAGACGCCGTTGCGTGTCGTCGTCTCGCAAAACAGGCAATTGCGGACGTCTACAATGCCCAAGAAGGCATGGACGATGAGAGCTTTGAAGACGCCGCAGAGATCGTCAGCGTGCTAGGGAAGATGGTCAAACGCAGCGGGAAACCGGGCTCCAGTACCGACACCCCGGGGAGTAGTGTCTCCCGCGCTGGTCGCTCACGCAGTCGCAGTAGTCTCGCGCCTAGTCATCTTGATACGAGTGCGCCGACGACCGTCTCGCCTGTGCCGGTTACGAAATCTACGCCTGTTACTGAGGCTCGGGCAGGAATGAGCCGACCAGCTGTTCCTGATGCTTCTATGATGAACCCAATCTAATGGGATGGAAATGTGCATGATTATGATTTTACGGGGATGAAATGTGAATGATCAAAGATGAGCTGATTATCTACCTCTTATCCGTGTCTTTGGCGTGTTGTGCTTTTATGTGTGGGATGTATTGATTTCTTTTTGCTTTTGTTCTTGTCCAGCATATGTGTATATGGACATTATGCAATTCTTTTGATATCTGTAGATATATGCTACGATACGTTTTGATGACTTTGATTCACTATTGACGAAGGAATGACATGTTTTGCGCTATGCTGTTAAATGAGGCCGCGTTGTACAGTTTGTTGCAGCGCCCATACATATCGCACTATCTGCACAAAAGACTTTGGAAGCAAATATTAGACATTGTGGTTTGCTGTTTGGCCTGCCCCAATATTTCTGCTATAAAAGTGGTATAAATGTAGAATAATGTCACATATTTGATTTTGTTTTTATTTTGTCATGTCCGCCTAACAGTTATCTCTGGATCAACATCGCTAACCATCGTGACCTTCTATATCAAATATACACTTTGTATATAAGCTGCGGCTCCGAAATCTTCCTGTCTTCCATAAATTGGATGGGAGTCACTCAGAAGCCAGAACCCCGATGCAGCTGATGTCCAAAAGGCTGTCGGAGTCAATGTCTCCGATACACACGGTAAGTCGCTGTATTTCGCTTTTATTCTATCTATGAGAGATCGTGAGGGGTTAGTAATGAGAATATAATATGTATAAACCGATACAGAACCGAGGTTATAATGAGGCATTACGACTAAGACTCGGTCTAGGGATAGGTTGAGCAAGGTATATGCGTGCCTTGGAAAGATGGGGATATCTTACATCACGGACGGCGGCGACGCGTGCATTAAAGCGAGCAGCGCGAGCAGCGCGAGCAACAGTAAGGTCCGCAATAGCCCGGGCAGCGTGGGCCTTAGCCGAGAGCTTGGCAATTGAGGCCTTCGGGTTGGCATTTAGGGCGGCGGCATCCCTATTAGGTTGCTATATTTGCTGCCAGCCCTGATCAATCCAAAGCTCATAAAGTGCAGGCTACAAACTGTAGCTAATAGGGATGAAAAATCAATAGTCTCACAGATAGAATAAGACATCTCGACACAAGGTGGGTAGTGGCATTTCATTCGATATACCGATGCCTTTGTGTCCAGACGAATACTGTGAGTAGGGTTTCATCGGTCTTAGTATAGAAATACTTGAAACAAATCGTAATCGCAGTTCGCACAAACGACTGAGGAGCTTCTATTCAGATAGGCGTGTGAACGGACGGGTTGGATGCACATTCGGAGGTCCCAATCTCGATAACGAATGTTGGTATATCAGGTGAGAATGCGAGATAGCACAGGGTTTTGACCCAATCCCTGAGTTCGTCGCACGGCGACTCTAGGGAAAGACACCCGATATCGACATTCGTAACAAACAGCTCCCGATATCGACATTCGTAACAATCAGCTCCCGACCAATTATACTTCGGGCTAGCAGCAATGTTCTCGTAGTTGCATTCCGACGTCACCAGATGTTGAAGTTTGACAAACTTGCACGGCCGCGTATGGTTAGCTGACAGTCTATTGATCTTCTTCTTTCAGAGGCTGGAATTTGAATATCTGCTGGCTCGTTTCGAGTTTCTGTGACGAGTCGTATTGATTGGACTTGGACGGTAGCGGCTTCCACTCGGGTTGTTGATGCGCCTATCTCCCCCCTCATAAAGGCACCAGAAGACCACCTTATTTACGATGGATAGTGGCCAGTAGCAGAAAATATCCAAAAAAAAATACATCTAAAAAGAATATTTGAGACTGCCAACAAGATTCCGAAACAAAAAGGCACTGAACATACAAAGTCCAAGCAGCCGATTATTCATGTGCGTTATGTACTTGGTCCGCAGCATATCTCAATCTCAAGGAATATTTAGCGATCCACATGACGTAAAAAGAAACAGGGAAGACACAAAAAGTGTTAAGACACTAGCTCTAGCACTGTGCAGTCCACAGAGGTCAAGTCATATGGGTAGGGCGCTACACGTGGACCAAGATGCCGATCTATTGCTATTATTGTCGAATATTGATCAGGTTGCCTCGAGCGATAGGGTACTCCGTAAACAAGATCGGAATAAACAGAATAGCAGTGGGCTGGAAAAATAGCCAATGCAGTTCGAGTGGGAAATCCTGTTTTCCTGCTTTGGAGTGATCGACACGGGGATAATAAATGCCTCAGGCCAGCATTGCTGGAAACGGAAAATGGAAAACTTCAAACTGTCCAAAATGTGGCCAACGTGGGAAACATTCTTCGACCTTTGACATAGGGGGGATTCGACGTCGAACGAGAGTTTCCAAACAAGTCCAAGTTGATAGTGATTGACGTCATACTCGGAGCTCTGTGCGAAAAAAAAAAGAGCCAAGACAACCGCATCCGGCCATTTAAGGGCTCCATGTCGTGCTGATATTCCGAATCCACTTGAATCCACCTGCCATTTCACATCTTTTCTCTCCAGCTACTCCGTACATATTCCCCCGACCACCGGATACAGCCCCCCTGCGCGTCGGCGCGTTGCTCTGCAGAAACGCTGCATCCCACGGAACGTTGCATTAAACGCGAAACGGTCAATCCCCTCCATGGCCTTCGGATTGCCATTGTTGCTTCTCACTTCTCGTGAACCTTGAACTATAAACACACCATTTGGAAGCTCTTGGACAGAGTTAGGGAGCAGGGATGATGCGTTCTGGCTTCGATAAACCTGGCGCTCTCCCACTCCTCATTCTGATTGTGTTTTCGCTGCTCACATTGGTGCCATCACTACCGAATCTCTACCACTCCAAGTTTGCGGACTTCAGCTTTTACACCGGTGCAGCTCGCCGTATGTCCCCCGTTCCGCCAAGCCCAGCCTCAATCTCAAGCTCATTAAAGTTAACCAAGCCGACTGTCCAGAGGTCCCTCTCCTTCAAGATAGTGTCACCGAATTAGCACCGAAAACACACATTCTCAACGAACCTCGCAGATCATGGGTTCTTTCGGCATCACATCGATCGCGAGGCAATCGCCCGCCGCTCACTGCACGCGTTGGAAATGCCGCTGTGGTCCCAGCCAGCGAAACAACCACCGTCGCAAATAAAAGTCGACTCTCATCGTTCACCCGCGAATCCTCATTTTCATTCGGCCGCAGAGCCCGTGCATTCAGAACCTACTTCATCCAACAATTAGACTACCCATTCCTCACCTCATTCTCCAACCGCAGCCTTGCAGGCTCAACGCATCCATATCCTACCATTACCATCAGCGAATCTCTCCCAACCTCCGACAATAAATCTCCTCCTAGCATCCCGCCATATAACCATTCCTCCGACAGCATTCAGGAGCCACTACTGCCCTTTCCTGCCTCCCTCCGCGATATGTGTCAGCAGGCCTGCCACGTCGCTCTTGATTTTGGAAAACACGTCGGACTTCACGGAGCAAATTATGCGAAATCCATCTTCCTCCCCCAGCAGATCACAGGGGTTCCCACAACATTAATACCCCACCCCACAATTCCCAACGATGCCTCAAATCAAGACCCATTCATCCCATCCGAGCAAGCACTGCCTCAACAAAAAGTTGGTGCTGAGGATTCCACCGATGCTGCCGCTAGTCGGCACTCGCGAGAGCTCCATGGAAGCTGTATGGCTGTTGTGATTGGTCTCGTTGCAGGTATCATGTGGTTCTAAAGCAGACTCTTTTAGGTACTACTACTTTCATGTCTGCTGATATGTGTGATGACCTTTCTTGTTTTTATTTGATTTGGCGCATTGTATTAAATACGTGTAGACAATTGGGCCGGTGGCTCTGGTTTAGCCTCCTGTTGGAATCTTGGAATCTAATAATCACATTTACCATTTCTCGTCTTGGCACAGATCCATATCTCTAGAGTCTGGTGCCAATAGCTAGCATCGACATCTGCGCATATTATTATCTACCTGGTTATTGTCAACCAGGGCTCCTTCGGGTCTCGCCAGGACCACACGCACTGAGCTTTCAGCTATCCCAGCTTGTTCATGCTCTCTGGCTTTTTGCATCATCTAAAGTTGGAACTGAACGAGAAGTCTTATATATCAAGTCAAGCAAACTAACCAGGGATTGTTGGGAGAAATCCGACTGTGGTGCTTCCACCCTTCTACTCAGCCCAATCTACGGCAGTTCCCCCTGAGAAATCCCTGGTATGAGGTGATTCTCCCCGCTCAACCAAGAGCATCATCTACAACTGCACAAGTTTACATGTAACCCAGGCGGCTTCGTGCGTGCGTTTTGGTCCATTATTTCCTCTCGATTCGGGCACCTTGCTGTTTAATTTCCTTCAAGTGTTAACTCACTACCTACCTGTCGCATACTATCATCTACACTTCATTTAATTAGGTGCAATTGTACCATAATACCATACGTGAACGTGTTCTGATATAGGACCTAATCTCGCCGCAAATGACTGTTTATAGGAATTAACGGAGATATCATCTTAAATACTTCATAATTCTCAAAATCCACTGTTCTGTTATGTTCCATTATCTTCTAATCGCTCATCAAAACTGTCTGAAGAAACAACATGATGGACTCGATGACAATACGCTAACCCGATACGGTAATGTCCGGACCCTAGTGGGGAATTAGTAGACGTTGGTTGGTCATTCCGAACTATACCCACGATACACTTGAAGGACACTTAATCCCACTATCACAGAGAGAAAACATATAAAGGGGACTATTGTGCCTGGTTGAAATGGAGGAGACATCAATCAAGACTTCTGTGCTTTCTTCAGTGCTCCTATCTCTATCCTCAAGCACCTTCACTCAACATGTCGAACAATCCACAAATCCTCCGCTCCGAGGTCGTTCTCGAGAAGTATGGCAAGACCCTTGCTGGAAAGACAGGTAATGAAAAGCCCCTCCCATTCTCCCCCAAGTAGCAATGCACTGACAAGACCCCCTTCTTTTTGTAGTGCTCATCACCGGCGTTTCCGACCATTCCATTGCAGGCGAACTCGCAATTCAACTTTCCGCTGCCGATCCAAAACTACTCATCTTAACTGCCCGTGCCGAATCAAAAGTGGCAGGAATTCAAGAAAAGATCAGATCAGCCAAGCCGAACGTGGAGACTCGCTTCCTCAACATGGACCTGAGTGACTTGAACGCCGTGCGAAGTGCTGTCAGAGATCTAGATGATGTCTCTCACATCGACCACCTTGTCTCTGTGGCTGGAGTCATGTTCCCGCCATACAGCAAGACGAAAGATGGATTTGAGAGCCAATTGGGAGTCAACTATCTGGCGAACTTCTTGCTCGTGAAGTTGCTCCTACCAAAAGTCCATGCTGCGGGAGCAGATTCGTCTGTGGTTATCATGGCTTCGTCCATGGTCAGACAAGGGAAGATAGACTTCGATGACTTCAACTTCAGTGTGAGTTTGATTTCCAGATTATATTTAACAGCACTGACATTCCACTTGCTTCTAGGATGGCCAAACCTACGATCCCATGGTCGCATATGGCCAGTCGAACGCTGCAAGAGTCATGTTTGTCAAGAGACTGGGTGAGAAGTTGAAGAACGAGAAAATCCGTGTTTTCAGTGTTGATCCTGGCGGTACGTTGTGCTTATTGCTATTCAATGCATGTAGCTGACCAACATTTAGCCGTTCAAACCGGTCTGCAACGACACTGCCCTCCTGGATTTATTGACCAGGTCGCCGAATTGGTGAATGCCGGAAGTATGTATATACCCCCTTGCTAAACATCTTTTTTTCTCACTAATTGACCTTTCTAGCCATGGTTGACATGGACGGAAATCAAATCGAAATTCCCCCGTGGACTACTACCTCAGAAGGAGCCGCTACTGTCATCACAGGAATGACTGACCCTACCATTGCAGGTGAGTAGAGCACCTGGGCAAGCCCGTATATGCAGTGTCTTTTACTAATCATGTCTGCATCCAGGGTACAATGGCTCGTATCTCAGCCAGAACGCAGTCGCAGACCACGAGTTGCACACCCATATCAACGACGAAGACAACTGGATCAAACTTTGGAAGCTGAGCGAGGATCTGACCAGAGAGAAGTTTTCGCTGTGAGAGATGTGAAGTTGAAAAAAAATTTGACATGTGTATTATAGAAAAGTTGAGATGTCACTTGATTGTTTTGAACACGATGGGCTTCTCCCCTCGCTGTTTTCTCCAATGATTAGAAGATTCAATTATATCTGGACAGTCTTTCGCCAACCAACTCCATTTCATGATCAATGACTCCGAAGCCTCGTATGCAGATGGATCCCAAGCTTCGCCCCAAACACGAAGTCCGACTTCCTGCGAAGAATCATGGGTTTCATAGAAATCGCAGCATATTTCGTCTTCATCAATTACATCTGATCTATCCAAGAGGGCCTCTCGTAGGGACAACATTGGAATCAAATCGATCCAGGGGTGGTGGATGATGTTCCTTTGCTTTTGAGATGGATACAGGCTTGGTGGGAGATGTAGCGTCGATGGACCGACGAGATTGAACTGCGATGCAAGGTCTTCCTCGAGAAGTTCGATTGTGAGGCCCATAAGATTGGCGTTGACTAACATCGCTCGAATTACACTGCACTGAGTGGCGCGCAGGGTGGGATTTGGTGAGAGAACTGGGTTCTCGATCATATGCAAAGTTTTTGCATGGAGATTGTTCATAACCTCATCGCGTTGGATAGATTTGAAATGACGTAGATATTCTTCGCTTTGGCAGGGAGGCGATGATAATTTAGCGACTTGATGGCTTGTTGCTTCTCTTGTGAATGCGCCCTTTTTTGGAATGTTTGGATCTTCGATATAGATAACCCATTTCCTGTCTGGTATTTTGTGTTTTTTAGACTCTAACGCCTTCCTTTTTCCTGTATAAAACATTAGTATCAGTAGTTGATGGTTGAGTCGACTGTGACGAATAGGGGTGCCACCTACTGCTCGCACGTTGATTGAGGCGATTTTGGAGTCGTCTTCGGTCTGCGGAACCTAACATCTCTATCGAATTATCTGAACTTTTCTGCACGATATCAGGCGATTTGTCTTGGAAAGTCATCTTAAAAGCAATGTAGTTGAGGGGACGAAGTGGTAAGACGTGAGAAAGTCCGAAGGGGGGGTTCGGAGATAAGAACAAAGTCCGGCGCGCTAGGTCCGAATGAACGCGACAGCCTCACTGACGATACTACAAAATCTTTTAGAGTGGAACTACTCATCTTTCGTTTTTGATCGAGGTGAATAATATTGGCACGATTCTCAACTAATCTTCTGGGCAACTCGGAAACACCTCCGATAATCTGTTCATTCCCTTCATATTCATGACGTAGCATAGTGGCCAAACACCGAGAATAACACTAGTATTCTTGTGTCTTGGAGACAAGGACCGTCTATAGAAATTCATCTGTTACCTTATACAGGATCTTTGGCCTTCATCTCATTTATTGCTGGATAGAATATGAATATTTCCAAACTCCGCCGAATACTTACGTGTGGTCGTAAGAAAGGCTCAAATTCCGCAACAGAACGCAAGCCACAAACAAATGGCGAGAATGATAAAGGAGATGAGGAACCGTATGGGGGTTTGAGCGAGGTCGCTGCTCCGATTCCGGTTGAACGCACAACTGAAGAGGAACATGCGCAACACGAATCGCTCGATAGCAACATGTGTGGGTCACATTCGCAGCCTCATCTCTCCAACAATTAACTGCTTTGAACAAAGGTGTATGGTTCGCATACCCTTCTCACTTTTTGTCTTGGTGGAGTGCTACTAATTCACAAAAGGATGACTTCGCAGAGTGCGCAGGGGCTAGTCTGGGAGATGGGTAACGGTGTTGCCGGACATGAATAACCCCAATATGCCTTTTTTTCCCTCAAAAGACTTGTACATAAGAGAACGCGGTCCCGCTTTGATCTAGCACCCCGGGGAGATTTGGATTGACGCCCTTTGTTCAGACATGGCGGGCCACGGGATTTTGCCGCTGGTTAATTATAAGCTTAATTGAACTCTTGCTTACCACTCTTCGCATAGTGGAGGGACTTTCACACATGCCAGAAGCGGTGACAGCCAATGGAATGTTCCAAACTCTCATCAATTTGAGTCAATTAGTTTGATTGCTGGTTTATTGGACGCAAAGCTTAGAGTCTCTAAATCAAAAAGTGGTAACCAGAAACTGGACTTCAAGGTAATGAAAATAAAAGTCGTACAGGTAATCAAACACTGAATGCTCAGAATTGATTACATGTAGGTGACTTCCAAATCGGGAAGGAGGTCAGTTATAGGGAAGGAAAACACAGCTCTACTGCTATATCCACCCCCGTTAAAGGCGCTTCCTCTCACACGAATAGGGTAATTAACGGGCACTTAGCCTGAGGGAGGTACTTTATACTCCTAGGGATGGCCCGTGTGTAAACAGTGGATCTGTGACCTTTTTCATAGAGGTGATCTTGTTAATCACTTCTTTCTTTGTCCTTGCTGCACCAACTGATTGATTTTTATTAAAATAAGTCATTTTAAGGCTGTCTTTCAGGGTCTATGTGAATAAATTACAGACAGAGAGAAGGGAGCTTAGGAGCCTTGCAAGGTTGAGTTGATGACTAATCTTCTCCTTCTCATTCGTCGAATGCAGTGACATGCCGGAAACATTGAGAGCCAATGAAATGTTCCAAATATCGTGATAATATCCAATCGAGGTATGACGGAGTAGTATCAAATCATGCCAGTGTTGGTTTATTGGTGGGAAGTAGTGTTTAGGGCTTATGAAATGCAAATTGGTGACATGCTGCTATGCTCATTGCACAATATATATAATAATTCTGCGCCCCTCTACTGTTAGGATCTAGTTCTCTTCCAATCAACTGTTTTGTCAATTACGTTCACAATATGGGTTCAAATTCCATCTATGGTAGTGTCCAAGATCGCTATGGTGAATTGGCTGATCGCTCTTCCACAAGCGAGAAGAAAACCGAGCAAAATATTGCCCAAGCATTTGGTTATGATGCTGCAGACCTCAGCTCAATTCCCCAGGCTGCAAACCTTGGAGTCAGCTGTGGAAATCCTTTGGCCCTTGCCAACTTGCGAGCGGTGAATACTACCGCCAACTGATCCTATCGTGCGACTGTCTAACAATCTCCTCTAGGGTGAAACAGTGATTGACTTGGGTAGTGGTGGTGGCATCGACGTTTTGCTGGCAGCCAAGAAAGTCGGCCCCAAAGGGAAGGCCATTGGTGTGGATATGACGAAGGTGAGACTCCCACTTCCATCGACGACTTTGAGACATCCTAGCTGGAACAAATTACATAGAGCATGCTTGAACTCGCTCGCAAAAATGCGGAGAAAGCGGGTGCTTCCAATGCGACCTTCATCGAAGCCTCAATTACGTCTATCCCACTGCCTAACGCCACCGCGGACTGTATCATCAGTAACTGTGTGGTAAACCTCGTCCCTACGGTTGACAAACATCTTGCGTTCAACGAGATGTTCCGCTTGCTGGGACCCGGAGGTCGTGTTGCCATCAGCGATATCCTGACTCGCAAGGAACTCCCCCAAGAAGTGATCAACAGTCTATCTTTCTATGTTGGATGCATTGCAGGAGCCAGCCAGGTTCACGAGTATGAGAAGTATCTCTCCGAAGCGGGATTTGAAGGTATCCATTCAAGTGTGATTGTCCTTTAACGTTTCGCTAATCATTGTTTTCTTCTTAGATGTCGTGATCATCGATACCCACAGTGATATCAATGTTTACAAAGATTTGGTTCAAAAGCAAATGGATCTTGGAGAGGCCAGTGACCGGTTGGAACCTACTTCATGCTGTGGAGGAAAACAAGAAAAGCACACTAACGGAGGAGACTTGCTGGAATGTGACTTTAATGAATGGGCTGGTGAGTCTTCAAAGCTTTTCGATTGCCGAACCAACGCTGAGTTTCATTCAGGTTCATTTCAAATTTATGCAGTTAAGCAGTCGGGGAAATAACGTATAGTTGCAATCAAATCGACATAGCTCAAGATATTTCCGTCAAAACTTTAAGAAGAACTTGATTATCCACCCTGCATCCCTCCAACGGACTGTTCCCTTGCTTGAAGCCACGCTCCATCCGAAAGTACAAGGCATCCAATTCCACGCCTTTGGTATTGCAACGAATCACCCATTGACAGGCTAAAGAGCACAGGGTTGTATTCAGATCGCTACTCGTTTCAGTGCTCTCGCGGGTCTCTTGATACTGGCTGGGCTCAAGAACAGGCTCTGCCGGTTCTGCCAGTTCTAACGAGAGATGGTCCAAATTGGCTGGATTATTGGTCTCATTCGACAGTAACGGGATATTGAAATCCAGCCCTATGTCTGGTAATAAGCCTGACGAATCCCATTCTTCCCAAAATGACAAGGGAGTTGGATTTGTCGTATGTTGGTGAGTCTCCACGCTGCTAGACAACGAGCCTGTAATCTGTGAGAATCGTTAGAATCCTAAGACAATGATTGTTCAATTGGTGACTTTACCGCCGATGCCATATTGGGTTCGTTGTCGTGAATCCCCCCGGGAGGTGCATCCAACGAGTTGAAGTTGATATCTAGAGTAGCTAATAACCCTCTCATCCAGGCATTTTCAGATTGCAATTTATCGAATGCTGATAGAGATGGTGAATGTGTGGATGCGATTAATTCGTCGTATTTTTTGGCCTTTTCCTCTAATTCCCGGATATATTCGAGCCGTTTTGCCCTTGATCGCCGTTGATTATTGCGAATGCGGGCGAGGTCTTCGCTCTACATGCATATAACATGAGTGGGATGGAATAAAAGATAGAAAGACGGGACAATTGCTAGCTAACCAACCTTGGTCTTGGTTTTTGGGCGAGGCATGTCGAATTTGGGCAGTATGAGTTTTGTATTAAAGGGCTTTTCTGGCTAACAATTGTGGAGGAGAGAGAGGAAATTGAAGACATTCAAATATAGATGGATGATTTGACGTTGAAATAAAAAAGAACTGGAGAACTCTGGAAGGCAAGTCGATCTCGTCCAATCAGACGAAAGTGGCATGTCACTGGTAACCCCGCAGATAGCGTGACTTGAACTTAATATTAAGGGCTGTTAAGGGCTGTCTCTCTATTAATTCTTGATAGTATAATGTACATTTTGGTCTTAATCATTCCAGCCAACTCGTCTAGCTATCCATTTGACAGCATATACCAGACCCAATAGCACAGGAACCTCTATGAGAGGCCCAACAGTCGCAGCAAGAGCCTGATTGCTATCTGCGCCAAACATCGCCACCGCAACAGCAATTGCCAATTCAAAATTGTTGCTAGCAGCCGTAAAACTCTGCACGGTGGCTAGCTTGTAGCCAAATCCTAATTTGTATGCGACAAGGAGAGTCGCAAAGAAGATGATCAGGAAGTAAACAATGAGCGGTGCTGCGACTCGGACCACGGAGACAATTTGCTGCACCACGTGGCGGCCCTGTGAGGCGAATAACACAAGGATCGTGAACAGCAGGCCGAGGAGAGACCAAGGGCTAAGCCATTTCAAAAAGGTTTCATCGTACCATTTTACAGAAATTCGACGGAGTACGAAACGCGTGACGATTGCGGCGCCGAGAGGTATTCCGAGGAATACCGCGACACTTTGGGCGGCTGTTGAATATTCGAACGTGACTGGATCGCCGCTGATGACGCTGATGAAGAAGACTCCCATTGGAGCGAAAAGAACCATCTGCAACACTGAATTGAAAGCGACAAGAATAGCACAATATTCGTTATCGCCTCCGGCCAGTCCTGTCCAAACCAGTACCTGATGGAGGCTGGGAGTTAGCATAATGTGGTTTCCAAAGGGGGTTTGCTTATGGGTATAGGCTTACCATAGCAATGCATCGTGCTAATCCAACAACGATCAGTCCCTGTCGCAATTCTGGCTCGTCCGGCAAAAATGCCCAAGCTAAGGCGAGCTAATGAAACCATGTCAGCAATCGGCACTGTGTCGCAGAAGTGTCGGAAAGACTAACCATAAGAAAGGGGGCAATAATCCAATTCAGAAGAAGACTAAAGGCCATCTGAACCCAAATACCTTTCTCTCGGAAAACATGATGCAGGGATTCGAACCGAATTTTGCACAGGATAGGGTACATCATGACGAGAAGACCCACGGCTGGAAATACATATTAGAGACTGCAAAAAGGTAAGGTCTTGCTTGAACGTACCAATGGGAACAGAGACTCCCACAAATTTCCCCCTTTGTAGGGCAGGACCCGTACTTGGGACAAAGTTGCCCAGGATGATTCCAATTGCCATAGCAAGAAAGATCCATAACGCCAGGAATCGGTCCAGGAGACCGAGACTTGAGAACATCGACTGTTTCTCCGATGGCTCATCTGGAGAAGATATTTGGTCTTGCTTTTCAATGTCGCATGTTTTTTTTGTCTGACCGTTGGGGGCGCTGGAGCCATGTAAACATGACTGTGGTCGTACAGATTCCATCGGCATTAATCGAAAAAAGATTAAAAATTTACGGAGCGGACAATGGATGTCGAATACCAGACAGCAGAGCGTGGGATTTTATATTCGCTCGTGTTTCTGGATATTTTCCATAGAACTAAATGGCGATGATATGTCACTGGTGGACGTTGATTGGCCGAAGAATTAGACTATCGGTGGGGCCGTAATTTGTCACCCGAGATATTTCAGCCAATCAGAATGTGGGAGTGACATATCTCACTGGCGGGGTATTTGAGGTATCCTAGCAGAGTCAACAGTCTGAGTATCAAGTCTCTCAATTCTCACTTTCAACATTTACAAAATGTCAGCCGAGCTTCCATGGCACGCTGCATATCCTGCACCAAGGAGTGCGGCGCCCTCCATCTCACGAGAAGAACTATTGCAATGGATTAAGGACGGTAAACAAGCAGGCAAAGACTTTATACTTGTTGACTTGCGTCGCACAGACTATGAGGTATGGGCTGTTGAAAAAAGACAAGTGACTTTTTCATGCGCTGATATGTTGGAAGGGAGGAACGATCCAAGGGTCATTGAACTTACCCGCTCAGAGTTTATACCCTACGATCCCAACATTATATTCTCTTGTATCGAATAGCACCTTGAAATATGTGATTTGGTATTGTGGTGAGATTTACTCAATATGATACCGATTTCCTGATAGACGAATATTAATCTGCGTTTAGGGTCCTCTGCAGGTCGAGGTACTCGTGCAGGAGGCTGGTTTGCGGATTACCTTGAAGATCAACACGATACAGAGGTCAAGAGCTTGGTCCTAACAGGAGGCATTAAAGGATGGGTGGCGGCCGGTCCTGATTATACATCCTTGATGACTGGTTATGATACCTCTGTCTGGACAAAGTAAAAGTAGCTAGTTGAAACAATGAATATTGAATCATAAACCATGTGCCTAGTGGAGGGAGAATCATAAGACGAATGCTGGGTGGGGACTGCAATGTTGAAATTGGAGTTAATGACAACCCATAACCTGAGAGAAGTCCTCTGAAACGCGAGGCGTCAAAATGCAGAATTGGAGACTCGGGGAAGGTAAGAAGAAACACGGTGAGGCGTTGACCAGTTATTCCCAGCTAGAAAGGTGGTTGGAATAGTTTGGGGATACAGGTTGAAGAGTATCCAGGGCTGTATGTTGAGAATGTCATCCAAGAAGAGAAGTAGGTGATATCATGATCTTCATTAAGAAAAAGAAAAAAAAAGAGGAGGTACCCCCAGACCCACGAACCTCGCCCGTCAGGACCGCCAACCCCCTTCAGGTTTGGACCCAGTATGATGCCCACCAGGGGAACTACCATCTATAAACCCTGATCAACCTTAAGAATGGCAGGAACCTTAAGTGTACCCTGAGGTCATGAAGCCCAAGATCGCTCGAAGGTAATACGCACTCAGTATCCCACGAGGTAGATAGACTACAGAGTTCCACAACCAATGAGCTAACCGGGGTGGATCTGGAGGTAACAGGACTTCTTTAAAGTGACCTATATAGGGCCATTGCCTAATTGGGAACCCATTGAACTAACCAGAGTTCAATTCCCCCCACGAGATCACTTTTGTTTTGTGCTTTGCTATATCCCTGAGTCTGCTCCTTTTATCTCTCGCTGGTCTACCCACTAATCACACATATTTACGTATCAAGAGAACCATTTAGAGGTATTTCATTGGTAAGCCAACACACATGGCTCAGACTCAGTACAAGAAGATGAAACTTGCAATGCTAGGTAGGCATGGACAAGGAAAATTACTGCTCAATTGCCGCTGTCCATGTCGACTGGCAGACTTTCGATCCAGCCAAGCGTCATCCTACGGCCGGAAACCACGGAGCCAGGAGCCAGACGGAACCTCTCGAAAGGGAGATCAAGCCCGAGTCTATCATAGATTTTTTGCCAGACAGTACTTCTGAACCGCAAATTATTATCCATGATCAGTCCATCCGATGAGACCGATTGCAGTTTGATGTGTTCCAATGCGGCACGCACACGCTCAATGCGGGCCCTTAACTTCGGTGCCTGCTCGCAACTTTCCTGGAAATTGCGCAGCAGCGTATCAATGGTTCGGAGCTCCTCCACCATCGTCGTGATGGACTTCGTGATCGGTGCAGTTGTAAACATGCCTGGCCCAGTGCCATTCATCACACCAGGGACCGCTCGGGCGGCGATCAGAATAGCAGCAGCGGCGTAGAGGTACTCAAGATGTTCACACTTAGCATGCTCATCACGCGCGTGTGCATGGGATGCACTGATAGTTTTGACAATCTCCTGGGCAGCATTCAAGCATTTGACAGCACTATAAAACACTAGGCCAAGGAAAGGAGACGCGTCCACAGAATCGATGTCCTTGCCAGTGATATGAGGGCTCATTTCACAAGCGCACGATTGGGAAAGTCGCAGGGTCAAAATAAAGAAAGGCCGGTATTGACGAAGTCGGAAATAGACAAATCGCAAATGAGCCAGGACAGACATGCAACGAATAAGAGGATCCTTCTCCATGGTGAAGTCGATGCCCGGGCCTTTCCATTCCAGACAGTTGGGCAGACCATTCTTCCAGCTCGACAGCTTTTCGTTCAGTTCCTGGAAGCCACGCAGGTCCACAACAGAAAGCCATTTGATGGGGCATTCCATGCGAGTCACACGTAGATCATTTTCAACGGTGATCAAATCGTCAGTGTAGTTGATAAGGGAAGCATAAACAATGAAAAAAGAAGATGCCGCGCGGCGACGTTCCATTGTTTCAGCGCCAGACACTCCCAGGTTATCTTGAATGAATGACTGCATCGGCATGGGTGACTCGTAAAAGGTGTCAAGGGATTGATCGACAACGCCAAACTGAAGAGTGAGAGATAGTTTCTTCGTCCAGAGACACTGCCATACCATCCGAACGTGCTGCAACGAGTCTTCATTCACGGCGAGACATCCACCGTGCATAGTTTGCATGCGAAGAGATTGCGCTCTGCCAATAGCCATAGTTAAGATGTCCCAAGCCATTCGCAGGTGTCCGACAATTTGGAGGTAGTGGATTTGGAGGATTTGGTGATGGAAAAATTGAATCGAGGGTCGAGAATCGATGGTATGAGCCATGTTAGATCGAGCTGCATCGTACCATATGCGAGCTTGCCAGAGCTGCTTATCACGAGTGAGTTGGGAGGCAATTGCAATGCAAAACCCAAAGGTTGGTTCAATGGCTGTGAGTCCGACTTTCCCATGGTTGACAGCCAGGGCGAAACCGGCTTTGAGTTGGTCGAGATTGAGCATAGGCAGCATAGGAGCGTGTTTCGCAACGAAGATATTCCAGAGTCTGTTCGGGATTTCGGAGCTGAGGGGCTGGCAGTCAGAAGTAGCACGGCTGGGACCCGGAACGAGTTCATTGTTAGGAGATGATGGAATGGCGTCGTCGGAGTTCGATGACTGATTGTGAGAAGTAGTACGGTCTGGATATGGGACGAAAATCTCGTCGGGGTTTGACAAATGAGTGCCAGAAGCGGCACGCTTTAAAGGTGGGACAGTAATGTCGTTAGATTGGCCGTCAGAAGTAGGACGTTTCTTGGACGCAGACTGCGTGGCAGGAGAGGCTGCGGTATCGTTGGATTGCGACAACTGGCTGCGAGGAACCGAAACCACGCGCTTGGTGATCTTGCGCTTCAAGTTTGTTACAGGAATCATGGTGTCGTCAGTCACATCGGTGGACTCCAGATGTGGAGTATATAAAGATGAATGAGAGGGAGGGAAAGGAAGATGGGTTGGTGAAGGAGACAGAGAGAGGGCAGGATTTTGTTTACGAGTTGGTCGCGATGGTGATCCTGGCGTGTACGAAGAAGGCACGCGTGGAGAGGTGGGTTTGGGTGGCACCTTCCTTTTTGAGGTCGCAGTTTCTGCTTTGACAACTGGACTGTCCAAGTTGGCATTGGCAATATCTCCATCAGGGTCTAAAAGCTCCGCAAATTTCTTACAGTTCGCACGGCTCAGCTTGGATTTGGCCGATATGGCTGTAAGGAGATGATTGCGGAGGAATCCGATGCGTGAGTCTTTCTTGTCCAAGCCATAGGCATCAGGATTAGACGTGACTTTGCTTAGGCGATGCAGAAACAGCTCGTTGTGGTTGGATGTCGGTTCAGCCGATGCACTTGACAGACACTCTTCAACGCATATGATACGCTCTTGCATCCTCTTCTCCTCGGGGCTCATCAATGGCCCGTACAAGAAGTTCTCAAAGCGACTGAGAAGAGCGCGGGAGCATCGGCCACCCTTCTCTAGCTTGTGGAATGCAACTTCCATAAGATCATCTTCTTCACACCACTCATCATTCAATTGAGTATCCCCCAATCGAGAAATTGTAGGTTCGGTGCTCGGAGGTTCAGGGCTCGGGCGTTCAATCTTAGCTTTCTTTAGTAGCTTTATAATGTTGCGCAGAGCCCCTGCTGCAAGATTGCGATGTTTCATTCTCTGAACGTTGATTTCAGTGGTCAAGTTGCACCGAAGCACCGTTTCATCTTCACGCAGAGTAGGAGAGATACTGCGTATGCGGGGTAGAGGATTCGGCCTACTTCCACTGGGCATACCGGTGCCAAACGGTGTGACCTGACCTTGTGCTAGCGCAGGTTGCCTAGCGGGACTTCCAGAGCCAAGTTCAGATATCTTCTGCCGTTTCGCAGGAGACTGCTGGGGTATCTTCGTCTGCTGGTGGCTGGAATCATTCTGGATGGGTAATCCAACTACAGCATTAACAAGTTCAGTTCGTTCAGGGCTGTCTGCAGCTCTTGGTCTTTTGCCACCCGTTGAAGGTAAGGCATTATTGAACATTAGCCCTGAGAATGGAGCACCAGTCTTCTGGGTGATTCTGTTCTCGGCACTTTTGTTCTCAGTACTAGATGATGTAAAATTAGTCATTTTGACTCGGCCGCACTGATGGCACGAATAAACATACACTGGTAAAGCCGCAGAAGGATATGAGCATTCAGCTGCAAAGCCCATACTCTGACAGGTGTTGCAAACTATTTAAATGGTCAGTCATCAATACTTGCAATCCTCATCGCCCTCTCAAGCCACAGAGCACATACTTGGTTTAGTGCGGTCACAGCGTCTGTGTCTTGCCTTGCATTTTGTACAAGGAAATCCCAGCGGATGGTTTGATGATGATGAATAGGTCGTTGACAATGGAGCGGATGGTGACCGCGAAATGTCAGTGCCATTCACCATTGGCGTTTGATCAGCCATTGTCAGATTCAGTTCAATGCATCAGTTGATTGAAGAATAAGATCTATGAATGTATCAGTATTAGTCTGCGTTGCTGGGCCTCGGGACGATAGAGTTGGCCGGGCTGGTTTGACTATAGCTTGATAGAGACCATACAGCACCGCCATAAAGCCAGGAATAAAGAGTAATTCGAGGAAATCACTCACCCATATCAACTTAAGTTGCATGAAATGGTCATATGAAACTGAACAGGATGAACATGTTAGCTATTGGTTGGTTCGCGATGTATGTTGTACATATGGTTCGCGGTGAAGTGAGAGTCATCATTTGCGTGGAATGCGAAAGATGTTACGCCAGCACCACCGGTCGGATTTGAGAACCTCTTACCGAGGAGTTCAATAATATGTTAATCTGAAATGATTCAGGGAGGAATAATCGATGAAAACGCGTAGAGACGCGTGGCAGAGCCGCGATGGTCACAATGTAGATGGTTGTAAAGCTCAGGTTATGACGAGAAATTCGAAGTCAAACAAGAGTTCAAGATCAAGTCTAACATCGGCGCATCAAATCAAACTTCCTGGATGCTATGCCGCATCTTCTTGCGCAATGACGATGATATCAACAAAGGGCTACTAACGAGTAGTAACTAGGGGCTAGGGGTAGCTGTTGCTTTACCGCCTTACCCATCTCTTACTAACTCGCGATGCCTCGGTAGTAGCCCTACGATACCCTCTACGAGCAAAAGGGGAACTCAAAAATGGGTGCATATGAATCTACATGTTCTAACCATCGGTCGAGTCTAGTTGCAGACGAGAGAAAATGACTGAGTTGTGGCGAATACTACAAGACATTTGTACTAAATAGTTAAGACAGGTCAATCTGGGAAGCAAAACTAATTGGAACTATAGACCAAGTATATATAATCGAGGCAGCAAGACCCTGGGGAACAGGAAAGACATATGTTGTACAATGATAGAGCACCTAGGTACATCGTAGATGTATCTGCCAACATCCACTGATGGTCAAAGATAGTTCAAATATACACAGTATACCCCTTCTTGTGGAATGCGTGCGGTAGCTAGGTCCTGCCAGCAGGACTGAAGAAGCAAGTATGCAGAGATAATGCAACAAGGACCATGTGCATTATTGTGTCGGTATCAAGATGTCGATGCCCCCCATATTGGGATTCCCTGGTGTGTCGTGCGCAATTCCAGTGGACCATGGCGATCGGTATAGTCGGACATATAATGCCCATTCAAAATAAAATCATCAGGGTTATGCTTTCTCCGCTTCGTCTACCGATCGCTCGACTTCTTGCTCTGTCCATCGATGGAACAATTTGCGCGCGTCGGAGAGATTGGCCTCCTTGGGCAACCCGTTGTGGACTGATTGGACGTGGAGGACGGGAACATCAAACTCGTAAACATCCTTCCAAGATTTGTTCCCAGATTGCATGATATCCGTTTCGACGTACTCAAAGGAGCGCCGTTTCTGGAGCTTAAGCACGGTGTTTTTGGCGGTGTCGCAAAGGCCACAACCCGCACGTGTAAACAGCGTCAAGCGGGCTGAACCGAGAAGGGCACGCGTAGGAAACATGGAGAAACAATGTCGATTATGCACGAAGTGGATTCAACGGAGTTTCGAGATGGCCGGTGCCGTGACGCGAATGCGGTCAGAAAGTTCTCCGCGATGGAACATTCGAGCTTCCCCACTAAACCTTGTTAGGCAACCTACGCCATTCTCTCCAGAACACATTACAATCTTCTCTTTCGACTTAGTCCAGTCAATTCCCTTGTAATCTGTCTTACCATACATCATGGCAGGAAAGTGCGTCCACAAAGCGTGTGGAAAGACCTTCACCGACCCGGAAGAAGACTGCGTGTATCATCCGGGTCCCCCAGTGTTCCACGAGGGGCAGAAAGGTAAGTACCTTGGTGTTCAAGCTATGCCAGATCTGTGTCCCATGAGTCCACAAAGGGCTCACGGTGGACCATTGCGGCAGCGCAATGTGACACCTGATCTTGTCCCTGTCTTTTACTACGTTTCTACCCCGCGACACCGCTAACTTCTCAGGCTGGAAATGTTGCAAGCCCCGCGTCTTGACCTTTGAGGAATTCCTCGACATCCCGCCATGCACAACCGGCAAACATTCCACTGTCGACGACACACCCGCGCCCGAGGCCCCCAAGGCTGAGGAAGTCATTGCTCCTCAACCGGCTGAGCAGAAGAAGTCCGAGCGGCCACCGATATCCGCTACCCCCACTATCGCAACTGCGGCGCCGCCTGCGAAGCCAGTCATCGAGGAGCCTGAATCCGATGATCCTGATGCGGAGATTCCAGCTAATGCAACATGTCGTCGGAAGGGTTGCGGTGCGTCCTATACCGGGTCGACTGCTCGCGATGAGGAAAAGTGCGTTCACCACCCCGGCCAGCCGGTCTTCCACGAGGGCAGCAAGGGGTGGTCCTGCTGCAAACGCCGGGTGCTCGAGTTCGATGAGTTCATGAAGATCCCCGGCTGCACAGAGAAGACAAAGCACTTGTTCGTTGGCAAGGCCAAGCCTCCGGGCGAAGAGAAGGTGGACACAGTCAGGTGCGTAAACGACAAGACGGCAGATCAGCCCTATTCTGTTTTTTGAAAATAGCACACTGACATGCTTTCGCATTCTATAGAAACGATTTTTACCAGACTCCCACCGCCGTCAACGTCTCCCTCTACCTTAAGAAGATTGACAAGGAACGGGCCAAGGTTGAGTTTGCTACCAACTCGATTATCTTCGACCTTCCTACGACAGACAACAAGCGCTACCAGGATACATATAATCTCTTTGCGCCGATTGACGCGGAGAAGTCTACTTTCCGCGTGCTGGGCACCAAGCTAGATTTGAAGTTGGCCAAAGCCGATGGTACTAGCTGGCCGGTGTTGCGCAGTGATGACAAGTGGACTGGAGAGCGCATCCAGATTGGCAATGCTGGACATGCATGATTGGGGGGGGATATGTAAAATCTACACGATAGACAGTTTCAAAAAATGATGACGGTGATGACAATTGAGACCTTGCTTGGCTTTAGCAGTACATGTAGCTAACGGTAACTGGTAGAACATATCATAGGGCGTTCGGTATGCCGACAACAACTAATATCTCGGCAAGCAAAATCCGAACATTATAGATTTTGTCTTGGCGGGACACAGCATCGCAAGAGCTCATACACCTAGCGAGGCTTCTGATACTCTTTATGATGGATTGCACTAAGGAATGTATAACGCTTACAGCGTAGATTACCAGTTTAAACCCGCGAGATATCAAATGCTAAGACCGTTGCAATCCCTGATCCAGTCTGAAGACCAGAGATAACGTAGACTATCTCAGATCACATAAAAGTGACTGAAAAAATGGTATGTGACGCCCTCTCCACAGCTAGCACCCATGGGGCTTCCCGAAGGATACCCTAGCATAGCCATAAAGTGATTGGGAAAAAGAGAGACGCCTTCACTCTCCAGGGCCGGGAACGGAAGAAAACCCATGTTGGCCGAAGCCATCGGATAACCCTCAGCAAGCCACATTGTGGAGCCCCGTTGAAATTTACATTAAGTTATGTAAACCTCTACTGATGATGGAGAGAAAAAAAAAAAAGAGTAAAGGCGCGGGCGAGGAGGTCCCTTTTATGTGTTTTTGGAGTCCATCTGCGCTAGAGCCGATTGGGCTTCGGTGAAAATATTTTTCCATTTCGTTGACTAATATTGGATTTTATGACTAATTTCGCTTTTTGTTGAGGAATTTTGTCGGATTGGGTAAACAGGGCTAATCTCAGGGCTTGCTATCTTCATGTGACCCTCGTTGACTTTCAACGTCTTGCATGTGATCGTCCCGTGACTTGTGCTTGGCAACAACCGATCTACATCATACAGCACAGATGCTGTAGTACCACACGACCAAATTGTAACAGAAACATGAAAATATGACATTAAGAAATTATCTTACAGATATCCAGCTCTCCAATAGGCTCCTATCTCAAAAAACCCAAAACTTGAGACATCCATATACAACTTGAAGTAGTGGCGGTAGACAAGGTTAAGTACCCATCCCATCTTCCAATCACGGGTCGGGAGCACGAGACCTCCCCTCGCTCTCATTAACCTCCCCGCCATCGATAGCCAATTTCTCCCCTGAATTTTTGTTCTACCCTCGCCATAATACAGAACAGGCCATTCCACATTGTCCTCTACTTCTTTCTAGCATTTATATCCACTCACACATTGCGCTAGCAGCCCATCCTTGTGCAATTGCCTAAATTTTGAATTCAAGGACCTTCGTCATTGATATAGAGGCGGCGCCTCTCAGTTGTGGACTAATTAAATAGCACAAAATCTTCCAAAACAACTTACGCCCGTACCCCTTTTTCCATCTCCACTGCGCTCAACTCCAACATGGGCTCAGCTGAGACTCAGACGGCCATGGCGCCAGATTTCCGATACATTCCCCTATCATACAGCCATGCAGACTCTCAGGCGTCTGCTCTCAGGCTGATCCTGACACTTAACCCGGACTGGGAGGGTCCTGGCAACAACATTGAGTTCGTGCGATTCACTGATGGCATCACCAACACCGTGTGTCTCTCTTTCCCAGTGTCGCATCCCATCAGACCAGCGATAACGTTGCCAGAATCTAACTGAGACTAACGGTTCCCTAGCTCTTGAAAATTATCAACGTGAGACCCGGTCTGACGGAGGAACAAATAGACAATGAGGCTGTACTGATGAGGGCGTACGGAAATGGCACAGAGATCCTCATAGACCGCGAAAGTACGAGCAAAATCCCCCGACGGACAACCTTCGTCAATCCTCCCGCTACTCAAACCAAAAAAATGCCCCTCCGCGCCTCCCTTGCCCAGTGCGACATATGCTGAAGTAGATCAATCATCCTTAGGAGAAACCAAGTCCCACGCGCTTCTGGCCAGCCGCGGTCTGGCCCCGCCTCTCCTCGCTCGATTCAAAAACGGCCTGCTCTACCGCTTCATCCGCGGTAAACCCTGCGGCCACCAGGATCTAGTCTCCCCGCCCATCTGGCGTGGTGTCGCCCGCCGCCTGGCGCAGTGGCACGCCATCCTGCCTAGTAGCGGAGCCGAACCGAAGGATGCCCCTGTGGCCGAGATCGCGGACGCGCATGATGATATTACCGTAATCAAGCCCCGACGCGCGGGTCCATCTATGTGGGCTGTGCTGCAGAAGTGGGTGCTGGCTTTGCCAGTCACTACTCCCGAGCAGCGTGCTCGCCGGCTGAGTCTGCAAGCCGAGCTGCAGTGGGTTCTGGAAATTCTAGACGATGGGAAGGGTATTGGAGAAGATGGGGTATGTGGCTCCCAGGACCGCTCCACTGGAAACGGGGATTGTGTTCTTGGATATACGGCTAATCTCTGGATTTCTAGTTCGTCTTCTCGCACTGCGATCTCCTCTGTGCAAACGTCATTGTCCTTCCGACCGAGAACGGTCTTCCAACCCCTAAAGACGGTACCGCGCCTGTCAACTTCATCGACTATGAATATGCCGTCCCCGCCCCCGCGGCCTTTGATATCTCGAACCATCTTGCTGAGTGGGGTGGCTACGACTGCGATTACAACATGATGCCTACAAAGTCCGTGCGCCGTCAGTTCCTCACTGAGTACACGAAGAGCTACTGTGAACAGCGCGGTCTCGACGCTTCGTCCCAGGCTGAGATTGTCGACCGGCTGTACGAGGATGTTGACCGCTTCCGTGGCATCCCTGGTCTCTATTGGTGAGTTCACCAAACACGATTATATAATCTAACATCAGATCAATGGCCTTATCATGCTAACAATATCTTCCAGGGGCGTTTGGGCACTCATTCAAGCGCAAATCTCCCAGATCGATTTCGACTACGCCAGCTACGCTGAGACCCGTCTTGGCGAGTACTACGCGTGGAAGCGCGAGGTAGACGGAAGCCGCAAGCAAGCTGGCGAGGAAATGCCGCTGCGCGAGTCCCGCTGGGCATCCGAGGCGTAAAGCCATTCACAACTTCTCTCGTTTTGACTCCGATCCCCTCCTATTCCTATGAAAGGACGAAAGTCGATTTTTCGGCGCTTCATTTTTTCGCACTACGTCAGCGCTATCAATTCCCCATGATCCTGACAAAATTACACCTACGCCTTTACCTCTTGCGATTGCAAGAAACGCTCAACGGGCGCTCCAGAAATTCAACAATATCCTCGGAGTCCTACGCTGAAACCTAATATAACCGATGAAAACAAATCAAAAGTTGTGGTCTTGGACGACCACAGACGAACGAGGTTGGACTCGGAGGTCCAACCCAGAAAATAAAGAGAAAGATAAAAGCACAAGACTCTACTTCGATTGTGGTGTAGGGTCGGAGCAAAAGTCTCAGGTATCTGTCGACATAGATGGTGGTTTATCTCTTTGCATGGCCATTTTTTTTCTCGTGGTCTTGTGTGTTGTCTTTCAACAACGTCATAGCTGGGGTGTTTTAAGGTTAATATGGTTTCCTTTTTCCCTATCTTTTCTATTTATTGAATAAATCTATTCGCTTGTATAGTAATCTAAGGTTGTACCTACGTAGTCTTGGGGGAATGCTGTGAGCTTGGACCACAAGGCATTTCTCACACAACGCCAGTATCTCGAAGATGAGGTCGGTCCCAACCGGTGGTAGTGTAAATATCGAGTTGTTTTTGATTTAATAGACATGATGTTTACATTTTAAATCGAAATTTGTGGTGAGAATATGAAAAATCGGAATTGTAGAGATAATATTTGAGAAATATATATCCACCTTTAGTGTCTACTATATATATGTACTATCGACACGCTATATAGTAACACCCTTTGATATTTTAGTCACTCAACGGACGCACCCACTCTCCAATCCACTGAACCCATTGAGGCATACTCCCCACTCCCCGAATATCCCTAAGTTTTTTTAACTAATTTCCGCCGTTCGTCGCGTATCCAAGACATTACCCGGCCCTGCACCAGCATCAACAAACAACTTCAAAAATTCCACACAACTTAGCAGCCGGATTCCTCTCCAAAAGCCCTTCCAAACTTCCCTCAGAATTTTCAATACAAAAGACAAATTGAACACAAGCCTATCTTCCCGACTTGAGCTCTAGGTCAAAATCGAGCAAAAAGCAATCACAATAGAAAAAGTAAGAAACATACAAAAGGTGAGGATTCACTGGTCACCCAACTACTAACTCACTGGCATGTGGCCCATAGTCGGGTGGGTGTCACCTGAGCAAAAGGACGACGCTGCTTTTGTTTCGCATTAACCTCCAGAGAGAAGGGAATAGACAGAGTCCAGCTTTAGACACCAATGATTCGATTGAAAGACTAAAATGTTTGTAATTACCGAGCCCAGACTTCGAAAAAAAAAAAAACAAAAGTCAAGCATCATACTAATTTCGCAGCCATTTGATGCAGCCATAGTTTGCGGTCAAATAGCTGTTCTTACAAGACATTTACATCCCCGGCATAGACGAATGTCTTTCCTGGCGCTTTGGCCGGCTCTTCATTATCAGCAAAATAAATCAAGCTGCGTGCTTCCCTATAAGCATTCGTCTCATAATACGCAAGCTTCTGGGCTTCTTCTTACGTCTGCACGGTACCCCAAAATCTCCTGGCCTGACTTTCCGTCTATCAACATAGGATAATCACCCCATCTCGCAAACGCATATCCTATAAGCTTTGCTTTCCGCATTTTTGGCACCTCGGGTAGGTCGGTGATTCGCTGAAGGGTTGCCGGTGCTGTCAATGTTCCGTATAAAAAGTAATAGAGTGGGTATTCGGGGGAAAGTTCGTTCTGGTCTCCCTCAATATTGGTGAGATAGTCGGACGCAGACCCTAACTTGACCTCGTCTGGGTTCAGCCCTTTATTCCGCATACACGCTAGAGAATCTGTATCTTCCTGACCTGGAGGTTGCTGCGACATGCTGATTCACGCAGTATTTGAAGGATTTAAGTGGATCATAAGACGCAAGAAGGCACTGTAATGGGGCGAACAAATCGTCTCCAGGGCTGTACAGTTTGTTTACGTTACCCTACTCGCCATGCACCCGTGGACAAATGTTAGCCGCTGTACTCCGTATGTTCTGGTCTAGGCGAGAAATTCTATTCGACTGGGACGTAGCTAAGCCAATTTCATGTACGGCGTGTTCTGAATATCACTGAAATGGAACCATTCATGTGCCCAATCACCCATGTATATTTAATCATGACGCACTTAAGTAAAATCTACTAACATAACAATGCTAAGCCCCAAGTTTGTGACCCTGATGGAATTTTCCCATTACATGGAATGGATCTGAGCTCCGTCGCAGATGAGGCTCTGGCAGCCCTTCTCACATCTGCTCCTATTGTTCACTAGTTAGGTGGGACACCGGTTGTACGGCTTTCAGAGAAGCTGATCATGAAGGGTGATGGAAGTGTCCTGGCCAGTGAAGCCAGAATGCTCAGTCTTGTTGCTTTCAGAGCTAGCATTCGAATACCACGAGTCTATCAATCATTTCAAGTGAAAGAAGATACACAATATTTTGGCGAATCTGGGTATATCGTGATTGATTTCATCAAAGGCCAACCTCTAGATGAATGCTAGGATGTCCTACCACTTATCACCTAAGGAGAAATAGCTACGATCACTAAAATGATTAAAGAGATGCAGTCTGTTGAGAGTTCACAGCCTGGTACTATTGGTGGAGGGCTATACCGGGGCCGATTCTTTGCGGATTATAGTGCTGGGCCTTTGATGAACACAGCTGAAATGGAGGCCTGCTTTAACCATAAGCTTGATATCTGTGAGAGCGTCCGTAAAGCTCCAAAAAGACACACCACCATTCCATTTTACTTAGTTTGTTCTTACGCACCATGAAATCAGCCCTCGAAACCTGATCTTACATCAGCATGAACAAGTGTGGTTAATCGACTGGGCATATTTAACAGTCCCAAATGTCGGGGCAGACTATTGGAAGCCAATCTCTGATAATTAATAGGATCCAGTAATTGTATTTCTCCTTTTCAAAAATGAAATTAGCCGCTTGAATGATGTCAAAAGCACTTTGCATATTACTAATGACATGGGTGAGAGATAGGAAGCCTAGCTATCTTTATATACCTGTAGCCCTTGTAGCGTCTTGTGTTTCATAGATGATTTGTAAAATATCTATCGTCATGATATATTGGGACGACTAGCTTCCACCTATCATACAATGAGAATGTCATACTGCGTAGATTGAGATTGCTTTCGAGCCATGTCAATCCAAGATGTATGAGTACCAGGCTCATTCCACCACGTCTCAACGAACGAGAGAACACGCGCTCTGTCCAGAGTGCGACTGATACGCATGACATTGCCAAAACATTCCTGGATAATCTTTTGACCAGTAGGATGTTCTCGGAGTTCAGTCCCTGCCATGAAAAGTGGCCAGACAAGATCCTGGGCGAACATGCCGTCTCGAGTCTCGGAGAGAAATTGTACATAGCGAAGTATTTCATCCCGAGACTTGAGCACATGGTCACCAGTAGTAGCATCCTCTGATAAAGCTTGATAGCTGTAAATGAGAGTTGCGTGGTAGTACATCCACACTACCAATTCAAAACCATGTTGATCAGCTTCAGAAGAGAAGTGGATGGATGCACTGAGACGCATCATGCTGTTTCTAGCTGACTCGATCTGCGACTGAATGTCTTGCATCGGGCCGTATGATGAAGTCTGCTCGACTGTGCCCGAACAATATCTCAGACGCTCAAGGCGGGTGATCTGGTCAATGACCTGAATGAAGTCGGTGAAGACCGCGTTCTTGCCGCTAGCAGGAGGAGCCTTGATCGTCATGTTGTAATTATCAAATGTGGTCAAATCAGCCCACACTGAAGCCTCATAGAATTCTAACATGAGAAACTCCTCGATGGAGGCCAGCTGGTGGTGCCGGCTCGGTCGGTTCCCTGCGGCCAGGATGATCTCTCTCGCAGCGGAGAGATGAACCCGCCACCCGGCGCCTTGTGGTTTCATAAACTCATTATTGCAGAGAATAATCACAGACGCAAGGGTGTAGGCAGATGTTGTGCTTGCTTCCAATGCCGATGGAGACGATGTAGAAAGGCTGTTCAACTCTTGAGCCAAAAGGGCAAGAGATTTATTTTGGTAGTTTTTTGACATCTGCTGGAACGTTCCATGCCCCAGGTCATTTGGAGGGTACTCCGATGCCAGGTCATGGGCGGCGATGGCGAGAATGGAAGAAAGGACTGTTTCGGAGCTCTCGGCCATTGGCAGGATCATTCGACGCCACGCATTTTGCTGTGGAACCCATGCAAGTCGATGGGCGACTCGGTCGTTGAACCATGAGAGCAACCGCGAAACATGCAGTGGTCGGGCTTGCGATAAGCAAAGGTCCGAGACGGGGGATGGTCCCGATGGTGAGAAACGTGTCGTGGAATGGCGGTACCGATCGAGAACGGTTATGCCGCTGCTGCTAGTTCGGGCCTCTGTTAAGGCTTCCGACGAATGATGAGGCGAGTTTGATACTCTGATAGGAGCATCGATGGAGGGAAATGCTCTGCCCCGCAGACTACCGCGGCTGGCGACGCCATGGACCCATTTGAGCTGTAGGCCGTAGCCTGGGCATTGCAAATTCCGCTTCCCGCATTTACGGCAGCTCGGAAGGCCCCGGTCACACTTGATACGTCGTCTTTGACATGTTGGACAATCTGGTAATGTTAGGACCCCCGCTTTAGCACGAGGTGAGATCCGTACCTTTAACAGCCAACTGTTCCGTAGAACCTGCGGACATTTGTATATCCCATTCGACTTTCTACTGGTGGCCGCAGAGAAAGTTGAAAAATAACGAGGGCGTTGGTATGGGCAGTACTTTTTTTCGGGGCAAAGTCATGTGATACACAAAAATCGGAATTTGATGCCTTTGACAGTGAACGGCGCTAAACCTATCTGGGCGTTTTAGCCAAGCGGATTGGCCTCGAGTGGGCGATCCCAAGCGCATAATCGTGACAAGCCCAGCATACATCCCGTGTTGGTGGGCCCTCAACCATAATTTATTTCCTTTCAACATTCGTATTACCCGCGATGTCAAACCGAAAACCTCGATCGAAATTAAAGGCTGTCAGTAAATACAATCAAAGCTTTACATACCTGTAAAATATGGATCCCCCTCCTATCGAAAACACTACACGATTATATAAAGCGCGGGTGGAGACTAGTTAAGTTATAAACAGCCACAAACCTTATATATTAGCCCAAAGCCTACTAAAAAAAAAGAATAATAGGGAGAAATATGGACTATTACTCCTTTGGTTTCATAACCGGTTATAGAGAAGCATTAATTCCTACCCCACGTGATCTTTAAGGATAAAATCGGCTACAAAATTGGTTAGGGAAAGCGATAAAAGGTGCTCGCTCCGAGTATTAACTATACTAATCCAACCGTTTTTAAATGAAACCTACGCCTAATAGTTGGATAATAACGAAACTGCATATGAATGGCTTTATTCCTTCTATAAAGCTACGATAAATCGAGTTTAAAGGGGTAGACCGAGGCTAGTGCCAAAAATCCAGGAATTTATCAGTGTTCTTCAATAGCCCAAATCACAAATCAATTCACTCATTCAAGTTGTGACACCTACAACCAAAAGCGAAAACACTCAACGGATGTTGTGTCCTCCATTCTGTATAACGAATGAATCGCCCCAGCCGGGTTCAAGATTTGAATGAGTCCCCCGAGACGTTACTCTGCCAATATTCTCTAAAGAAGGATTTGCAGGGAGGGATGTCTCAAAGTCCTACTTCTGCTTGGGCATTCCAACGAACATACCCACAACGAATAAGACACCTCTTGGAACCATCACTTACGCGATAGAAGCCACGGCAGCCACATTGAAACATGATGTTGTCACCCACCGCTGACCCCTAAAGCCCAACCGCTAGATGATTCACTCTGAACCAACAAAGACTCAACATCGCTTACGCTTCTAAGCCTCGAACACCATATGAGGAATTACCATCTCACAAAACTCAACACCGAGGTCTGGGCCCAAGATGTCATTCACTGCTACAATTCATACTCAGTGGGAGACAGCCCTAGCGGATCGAGCAACAGAGCTCTGCCATCTTGTGGTGCAAGGGCTGAGGTAGCAAGCTGAAGCAATAATCAAGATCATGAGCAAGCCCAACAGCCCAGACGAGAAATATTCTATCTGTGAGCGGCAGGTGGGAGTACGAAAGGGTACTGGGGATCGGGTCGCAATCCATACGTTAAGCAACCACACTGACAGAACATTGAGGGAAAGGGAGAAGAAAAACCAGCTATTTGCATTCTATTTGGGTTTACAATCCCCAAAACGGGCAATGGCTGTGGATGGCATAGACCTGGCCGCATATGAGATTGAAGCCGATAGGACTGACCATACTCCACAGTGTGGTCTTCCTAGGGATATTTATTTCTCCTCACAGCGCAGAATGGTGAAGGGAATCACTGTTCACCATCAGTTGAAGGTTGAACTTGTTACGGGGGAAGATGTGTTCCATAAAGGTACCGGCAAGCTCGTGAACGGAAACGGTTGCGGATTATTGTGTATCCTGCAATTCCATTGAGTATCTGTGAAGTATCTATCTAGCTTCAGGTATAGATGGCTATGACTTGATCGATTGGCTTGGTGTTATGGCTTTTAGCCTGCTGTTATACTGGTTTTGTGAGAAGCCAGTCAGTTTCCCACTAGAGTCTATTCTACCTGGGCCGTCCTATCAAAATGTTGTGCATCAATTTGAGATCCTCATCCTTCGATTCCGGTATGTTATTTTAGATTGTGAAGTAAACCCGGGGGATAGATTTGATTAGCGGTATTGTTCCCACCTCAATAATTCCGGGTTATACATGAAAGTCGTTTTCACGAATAAAGCCTCCAGAAATCTTAAAAAAGACTTCTAAACTTAATATATATAGTAGCGCACATAGTTTATCCGTGACACAAATGACCACTCAAAAGACCATTGAAAATACATCACAGGGCCGCATAAGCGGCCATGTATTGTTATTCTCAATGAATTTTTCTGAAAATTATGCGGTTACAATTCCGTCCAATAAAACGACAGCCATATGACTGCCGTCCCCACAAACTCTCCGGCAAATCGCTCTGCCGGGGGGAAATGCGGAGAAGACCTAAGGAGAAGTATGAAAAGAATATAACTAACCGAACAGCTAACAATTACTTCTTACCTTCAACCTCATCTCCCAACATCCAATCTTTCAATTCCACACTTCCAGAAAACACGATCGAATCCCTCAAATTTACAGATACCAAACCACACAAAATGGGCAAATCCATCCTCCTAATCAACGGGCCCAACCTGAACCTCCTGGGTACACGCGAACCACACATCTACGGGCACACAACACTCTCCGACGTGGAGTTGAACAGCCGCGAGGTTGCTGCCAGCCATGGTGCCGTTCTTGAATCCTTCCAGTCAAACCATGAAGGCGCGATCGTGGACCGCATCCAGGCAGCGCGTGGCAAAGTCGATGGTATCATCATCAATCCGGGCGCATACACGCATACTTCTGTTGCAATCCGTGATGCCTTACTCGGTGTTGATACTCCCTTTATTGAGCTCCATGTGAGCAACGTTCATGCGCGTGAACCTTGGAGACATCACTCGTACTTCAGTGATAAGGCGGCGGGCATCATCGTTGGTCTTGGGGTCTATGGGTATAAGGTTGCCGTTGAGCATATTTGTGTTAATTTTGAGGAGAAGGAGAAGGAGCCCAAGGCTGTGCTGTGATTGAGTTGGGAGCTCTTTTATGATGGGATGTTTCATAGCAACACGAGGATCACCCGCAGTTGATTCGACGAGGCCGTCCAAGCATTATGGACGTGCTAGATGCTCATAAGGATGCCCGTGCTCGCCATGAGGTCGAATCATCCTAACAGAACTATTCCACTGGTCCTTTTCAGCCAGGGCTCGTATAGTTTTGTATCTTCACAGCTAGCTTGGATTGTAATGCTGTCTTTTATATAAAATATTTAACATGTAACAAACATTGAGAATAATTAAAATTCAAGTCAGTTTGCACCCTAGCCCTCTGTTCCAAACGCGATCTGGCGAGGGGCAATGTAGTGGTCTTATAGTATTTTTGGCCTTCGCGGCTGCGGCTGGCGCACTATGGACAATCGTTCCACATGGGCAAGCCACGCGAAACCTTCCCAGATACGGCCAAAGCTACCGAAGCTGATCATCTTGGAAGCCACAATTTCCTCTATGAATGCGTCATGACGCCTAGAGCGTGAGCTTTACTTTGCTCGTGGCTCCGAAGAACAGCTGCGAGAATGCGTAATCATGCTAGAAGGCGTGCTTACCGCCATGTACGATAGCACTGATGATGCCTCCCGCGTTGCATGGCTCCTTAACAAACACAACGGGAGATTGAAGTAGGTCTAGGCACCCTTTGGAATGCCATGGTCAAGTACTTGGAGCGGAAGAGGCTTTGAATGGGGGTTTATTGCAATTGAGGAAGAAACAGTCTGGTCTAGTTCTTGAATGCTTATTCCGAAACTTGTAGGCTTCTAACAACGACGAAATGCATAACTGTAAATCGTATCAATCGTAACGTTGATTTAATTTGAATACTGATGCTGAAGGATGTCAAGGAATCACAGCCATCTACAATCACCCAGACATCAGAAAGTCTATCTACCTTTCTCAAGGGATAAATATCTTGAAAAAAATGAATTTCTAGACTACATGTAGCGATTTCATATCCGTCATAGAAGGCATGTTGTATTACTAGTTCCCTGGCCTGGTAGTACTTTGTGTACTGTGGCAACATGCCGTCCACTTTCACACACACACATAAGAAAGTGAGACCCCGCTTTGAGGCTTCAGATGTGCGATTGAATATGGGAGCCCTGAACTAGATGTGGAGCTCTTGCTCCTCAGGACCCAGATGGATAGCGGATCGAGAGGCCAACGAGGCCGACCAGCGGCGCGATAGGGTGTTCCCATGGCATTCAGATCATCGGAGAGGAGTGATCATACGAACATCATCGCGTGGGGGTTTCCGACATGTTAACAGGCTGCGCCTCTCCTCGCATATCGGATGGATTGCTATTACTGGGTAGCTGCTGGGTCTGTGCCAGCAAGAAGGGCTCAATCTGAGCGGAGAACGAGTAGAGCTCAGGAATGCCCGCATCAGAGACAAAACCTAGGTTCTGCATGAACTCTGGTTGATTGTCGGCTCTATAGTGGGTCAAAGTCAGTCGTCGTGCAAAGAAAAAAGGAGATGCATGCTTACTTTTCCGCGCCATCTAATGACGCCAGCTCATCAAATAATGCATCGAGATCAGGAGCAATCCGCTGTCTTCGTGAATGCGCATAGCTATCCATATCGACAAAGGTGCCGCCCAAATTGAGCGATGGGTCGTGATATGCTGTTGGATGGTATTGTGCAGCTTGATGGCATGATGGCGAAAGCTCGGCAAGCGTCCGGGTACTATTATGGGATTTGCTAGGGCCTGATGTAGGATGAGGAAGCACATTGTTCAGAGAACCATCCAAGTGGGCCTGTGGGGGAAATTCGGAGGCGCCCCCCACGGAAGTTATAGATGACGGCGTGCGGAGAAGAGATGCATCTTCGATATGTTGTGTGGTTCTGAGCCAAGGCGTGGAGAAGAATGGATTTTCTGGGGCAGCTGTGGCATGTGTATTATTTTGGGGCGGATGTGTCGCATGTGTGTCATGAAGAAGATGTGAAGGTGTGGCTATTGAGAGAGATGACGGGATTGCCATGTCTCCACCGGTAGAGGCTTCGATGTGCTGTGAGATCGCAGGAGAAGTACCCAGGACCTGAGATCTATGTGGTACATTTCGACCCACGGTTTGTTGGCCTGGCATAGTCCATAACACAGAAAGCTGGGAAGAAAGATTGTGGATGTTGTTTCGTAACCTTATATCAAGGTCTGACGGGAGGTCCTTGGAAATGGAATGCGGAAGGCCAAATTGAAGCATCAAACCGAAGGTGGGTGCGGTGGCTGAAAAGCTGTATGTCTCCATGTAGGCTTGAAGCAATTGCAACAGCCTTTTCGAGCTTTCTGTAGCACGCATTTTGTGAGGTGGTTCAAGTATTTTTTGGTCATATTCACGAATGGCAATTTGAGAGCTGAGAGCAATGACAACACTTTCATATGTGACCTCTAACCCAAAGATATGTGGGGAAGCCAGTCTCACTGGGCGACTTTGTAGATCAACACGATAGCTCTTTGGTAATGCTGTTACCCAGCGCTGTAATTGCAACTCTAGTTGCTCGAGCTGTGATCGAGATATCGTTGGGTCGTGCTTGCAACAGCATAGATCATTCAGAATGGACACGAGACTGACCAGGTGGTTGAAAGTGCTCAACGCGTGAAGGGGACCACGCTGCATAGATGCCCGTGAGGATCGGGTGGGCCGTAGCCCAGTTTGATCTTCCCAAGGATGCCATTCCTCGAGACCATCTTCATTGACAGAGCCTATCCTGGCCAAGTCTGCCTTCCGAAGCGATGGGGATTGTGAAATTGATTCCGCAATTAGGGTCTCGAGAACAAAGCAGCCCAGGAACACATGTTTTGCTCGACCGAGCTGTTTTTCTTGATCCGGGGTTCTCGATGATGATGAATACGAAGGTTGATTGAGACCTAGTATATGCGCAATCCGAACAGCCTGACCAACAAGCATCCAGGCGCCAGTCCATTCCTGTTGTCCGAATTTGACCAGAGCCAGGATCAACAGTGCTTGCACGTGTCCGATTTCGTGTGGGCCACTCTCAGGCGGAATCAACTGCAGGGCAGTAACATACATTTGTGATGGAGTCATCTGATCACTAGGGTGCTCTTCCGCTTGGCTGGAGACCGAGATAGAAGCATATTGGAGCGAAGCGAGAGTGAGAACAGCCCACAAGGCCGCGTGCTCCCCAGACCTGGGGGTTAAGCCAGATACGTATACGTCGCCTTCGGTATATTGAAAAGCAGTGCGAAGTATGTCATGCTTTTCGAGTATGGGGAACCAGCACTGCGTGTAGGAGAAATACACATCAAAAAGGGGCCATGCGTTATAGGGGAGTTGGAGAGGGGATTTCATGGAGAGCGATCGAGGGTAATCAGGATTCGGTGGTAAAGTGACAGAGGACGAGGATTGGTCGTCTGGTGTAATTGTTTGAATACCACAGTCTGTAGTCAGGTGTGATGCGGTAGCTTTCATAGGCGAGATGCCCACCGCTGTTCGAGTCGGTGATACTCTTGGTAATGGCGTCCCCCGAGATTCCATGCCTTCAGGGATCTGCCACACCTGTGCCTCAGCGGAAGAAAGAATCCCTTCCACATCTAGTGGTGTGTCACCCTCGCCATATGCCTGGAGGTTTCGCTCCCTTTCCTCCTCCGGCTGTTCCAGTATTATCAGAATGCGTTCAATGTCTCTGAGTACTGTGCTGTTTTTGAATGAAGCTAGTAATGCATCGGATCCCTCCGTCTCCTTGCCCATCGCGGCCAAGTGACTCGGAAGATTGATTGATCGCATCAACGCGCGCATCACATCTTCGCTACCTTGGATCCTTTGGAACACCAGCCCCCAAAGCAACTCCAGCGATCGAATGTAGCCCGTGGGAAGGCCTCGCTTCTTCGGGTTGGCCTTGTAGGTACAGGGTCGGCAGAGGGATACACAAGTCGAACACACTGGTTGTAGTCCGTCACATTTGTCCTTTTTTGACCTGCAACTATCGCAAGCCCGTGAGACTCGCTGACGCTTCGGTTCCCCCATCGCCTTCCCATCATCTTCTGGGTCGGCCCATCGTCGTTTGGATTTGCTGCTAGCGCCGGTGGCTTGCCGCTGTTCAGCGCTCATGGTGATTAATTTTGCGATCCACTCGGAGGATTCGGGCGCATGTTCCCGCAAAGGGATATGTGATGAATATTTTGCCGACGGGCGACTGGACAGCCGGGCGGGCGACTACGCCATGGGAATAAGCCCCACTATATGTATATTAGAGCCGCCGTGAAGGGATGCTGGGACCGAAGCGCGAGGTTGAGGGTACGTACAGCACAGGGCAAGGTGCTTGCCAACTAGATTCTTCCGGGGAAGCTTGGATACCCAGCTAGCGGTGAGCCAGTCACAGTCTCGCAAAGGGTAATCGCGGACAGACTAAGCTTTAGGCCTTGTGTTTGAAGCTGTTTTTTGAATAAGCGTAATTGAGACTAAGCAATAGCAATTTCGATAATTTCCCCGGGCCGTTTGAACGTATCTGAGCGCAAGTCCCCCGCGGGGAAGAGGAAAACCGAAAGTCCCCGGGTGAGTGCTCGTCCGCCTTATGTAATGGGAATGTATGGCCCGGAGCGTTTCCTTTTTTACGAATATTCCTTGTCCCCCGCAAAACCTGGGAAATCCTGCTTACCATATCGGTTCTCTCCACATCTCCGGACCCTCTATACACGTATATCTCAATACACTACCGCAGCCCCCATTCCACCTTTCCGTGTGTGGTAATGGGTTCTCGACTACCCTGCTCCTGATCTCATTCCCGCACGTGGGACCCTCAATGCGTCATGTCCATGTTAGTACGCCCACCGAAACGAAAGCTCCACGAGGTCGAGACTTTGGACGATGAGCCTCGAAAGTATAGCCCAGGCGTCGTGCCCTCTCCCGCTGTCCACATTTCATCTCGACCCCCTTCCCATCGATCGAATGAACATAGAGAAGCATCCGGAGATTCGCGTCCACCGTCGCTAAGAGAATTACACTCGAATCGCGGATCCCCGGTACTCTTCGAAAATGGCCATCTTCAAACCCCACGGACGTTCAGCCCGAAGGCATCCGTCGTATTGATCGGAATCCGTGGCACGGGAAAGTCAAGTCTAGCGGTCATCCTCGCGGCGACGTCTGGACGGCGATTGATCGATGCGGACCGCTACTTTCACCAAAGTGTGGGGTGTTCCCGTGCTGTGTTCAGGAAGGAAAACGATGGATCTGTCTACCGGCAACAAGAAGCCCGGGTTTTCGAATCGATGCTGGCAGACAACCAAGAGGGATGTGTGATTGCGTGTGGAGCCGGATCGATGGAAAGCAACGGTCAAAGACTTCTTAGGGAATTTGCGCAGACACATCCAGTTATCCACGTTATTCGAGATCCAGAGAGCATCCAGTCGTACCTCAAAGCGTGGGATACGCAGAAGGTGCGACATTTCCTAGAATTGTCAGGCCCGATATATCGAGGGTGCTCGAATCTCGAGTTTTTCAATCTGTCAGAGGCCAGAAGTGATAGTCTGGACAAAGACAGCGACAATTCATCGCCAGCGCACCGGATAGAGCCTAGGCCACATACTCCCATTCCGTTTTTAACGTTGAAACGAGTTCAGCGGGACTTTCTCCGCTTCATTGCCTTCATCACAGGTGACATTGCGGAACTTAACAGCCAGCATGCATCTTTCCCACTGTCGCTGTTGCCTGTTGAAGCTCGAATGTACACATCCGCAGTATCAGTACCATTTTCTAGGGTCTGTGAGAAGGGTATGGATATTGAGCAGCTGGAATTCACTGCCGATGCCTTCGAATTAGCAGTTGATGTAACGGACCCTTCTGATAAGCCAGGCCTCAGCTCAAGCCTTGCGGACAGTATCAGCCAGGCGGTAGCAGTCATTCGTCGCAATATCATTGTGCCGTTGATCTATCATGTGGAGAGCTATACCACCTCCACAGGATTCTTGTCTCCTAGTCAAGTTCCTGTGAGATGTACAGATGAAACCTACTTAAACCTCGTCCGACACGGCTTGCGGCTTTCCACCGGTTTCCTCACAGTAGACCTCACCCGTGATGACAATATTATTTCCCAGATCATCTCCGCAAGTGGGCGAACCAGGATCATTGGCCACTTTGAAGCCTTCCACCCTCTGCCGGGGGGCTGGGATGGTGATGAGTATATGAAAGTTTATGAGCGCGCCAAAAGTCTAGGATGCGATATAGTCCGACTGTGCCAACCAGCCGAGACACCCGAAGACAACCTCGCAGTGCAAAGATTTCGCCATCGTATTCAAAGCCTGCCTGTTGCTGGCATTTCTCTGATCGCATATAACACCGGCCCTCTTGGCCGCATGTCTCGCTGCTTCAACCCTATCCTCTCACCAGTCACACATCCGTCTTTAGTGACGGAACTTCCAACTCATCTACGATCATGGATCACAGCGCGCGAAGCGCAGAAGGCGCTTTATAGCTCATTTGCCTTGGATCCGATGCAATTCTTTGTCTTTGGCGCCAACACAACTTATAGTATGTCGCCCGCGATGCACAACACTGCTTTTAAAATCTGTGGTTTACCGCATAATTACTCTATTCACCAATCACCTACCCTGCGAGGGTTAAATGACCTTGTGGAAAATCAATACTTCGGTGGATCAAGTGTCAGTCTTCCATACAAAACAGAGTGTATTCCTCTGCTCCACTCAATGTCTACGCATGCCCGAGCCATCGGCGCAATCAATACCCTCATCCCAATCCGCAATCTTGATGACCTGGATGACACTCGTCTTCAAGAATCTTCAATCTTCCTCCAAAAGAGCCGTGCGGGCCCTATCAAGGGCCTTCATGGCGACAACACCGATTGGATCGGAATCTGCAATTGTATTCGCCGCGGTCTCTCCCCGGCAAACGCGGTACGCTCATCATCGACAGGTCTTGTCATCGGATCTGGTGGCATGGCCCGCGCTGCAATTTACTCCATGATCCATCTTGGTGTGCAAAATATCTTTATCTACAACCGTACACTCGCCAATGCGGAGAGACTGGCCCACCACTACAACCGGCAAGATCTCCACTCAAAAGAGGCCAGAGGCTCTGGCCGTCCCACAGTTCGCATTATTGCTTCATTATCCGGCCCATGGCCCGCGGACTTCAAACAGCCGACGATCGTTGTCTCGGGAATTCCGGCTCATAGCATTGGCGGCGAGCCAGCACCCAACTTCCACATACCCACACAATGGCTCGAGAGCCCAACAGGTGGCGTTGTTGTTGATGTAAGTTTACATTTATCTTTTATACTGGCCTCAAAAGGTGACCTTCTGTTCCTAACAATGTCTTTAGCTGGCATACAAGCCCCTCAATACCCCTCTCATGAAACAAACACGAGCGCTGTCCCACCGTGGGTGGGTAGCCCTGGATGGTCTTGATGTTCTGCCAGAGCAAGGTTTCGCTCAGTTCGAACTGTTCACTGGCCGTCGCGCTCCCCGGCGTGTTATGCGGAGCATTGTGCTTCAAGAGTATAAAGACGACGAGGGAAATAATGACCACCAAGCGATACAAGACAGGTTACAGCAAATGGATGGACAACCGAATTGAACATCACCGGCTGCTTTCATGAATGATGATCAACTATAGCAAGTGGGGATACTACTCAATCTGTGCCATGATAAATTCAGACTATAATAGCGAGCAAAGGAGGGACAGATGCGTGCAGACAATACGAACTTCGTTAGCATGCTTCTGGTTCAATCAATGTCGTGTTTCGGGGCATAAAATTCTCAACGCTGTCTAGTTTTTGCCTCCGTTGTTGTGACCATGTTACTCAATAGGTGTCACATAAATGACCAAGATCATGTAGGGTACATATACTTGTCGTAGGTCTGTAAAATAATACAGACATAGCATAAGCATTTACGGTGTATGAAACGACCGTTGGGATGGAGTCCGGTGGGTATATATGCCATAGTATATTAAATATTAAATAAACCGAATAATACAATAGCATCGAAAGAATAGAAAAACAAAGAAATTCTGTGCGCGCACGTTATGTTAATCGCGGTCTACGCCAAAGTATGAAAACATATCGAAATCAAAGGAGACCGTAGATTGAAGAGGAATCACAATGTGTGTAAAGGAGAGAAGTGCTGAGTAGAAGCAAACAAGAGTATATGGGACAGGTCGAATAGTGTATCGGAGTGAAGAGGATACATCCATAATCGTAGATATAGCCTGGAAAGTTCTCCCATCTCTAACTTATATGATACAGGTGGGAGACAACTTCATGGACGATATTGGCAAGCATATTAAGGACCAATTCATGAATGTCGTCATTGGAATTGGGTATATAACTATCAAAGTACACTAACAGTTAATCCAGTTGTTAGCTATCATCGGCTCTCAATACTCATAGATCAAGATGTTTGAGTCGAATTGCAACTAGTAGTTACTGTGATGAGCCAAATCACATGTTTGCTATAACCAGTAAAATAACACCAACCACTGATGGGGCTGCGAGACATCCTTGTCGCTAAAGCAGTCTGTATAGTTTGGAATAAGCTGACTATTCGGATTGGTTGTACCATATAGAGCAGATAAATTAGCAGCGAGACTGGGTAACAGTAGATAGAATCAGGAGTTTCCCAAATTGAAAGGTATACTGTATAAATTTATAAATTCCGCTATATAAAGTGGAGAACCACCTCAATAAGCACCTCCCGCTTAGTGGCGGTTATTTTGGACCTCCAATTTTCACCGGATGACTCAAGGAGCTAAACCCTTTACCCTTCAGTGGAATATTTCATTATATTGACATATTTCATACGTCTCTTGTATCCACGCATCTCCGTTAACCCGTTTCGCCATGGCCGTTGGACCCTTCTCTCAAGATGAGCTGGATGAGATATACGCTTTCGCGGTAGACCTGGGCCGCAAGGCAGGCAAGATGCTCATGGAGCGTGTTGACCAGCGTATCTCAGGCGCAAATGGCTCCTCTAACGCCTTTGAGGAGAAGGAAAGTGCAGTAGACATTGTGACGCAGACCGACGAAGGTAAGGCGGTGCAGCCGATAAGGCATATCTGGAGATATTCCAAGGTCGTCGCTAACAATTCTACTTCGC